CTGCGAGCTCGCAAAGCGTGGCAGGCGTGGTACTTCCCCGACACCACAGGGGATGCGCTGGGGTTGGTCCCCCTATCCTTGACGGGCTCGCAAAGCGTGGCAGGCGTTGCACTTCATCGACACCACAGGGGGTGCGCTGGGGGTGGTATCTTTATCCGTTGCGGGCTCGCAAAGCGTGGCAGGCGCGGCACTTCCTCGACACCACAGGGGGGGGGCGCTGGAGGTGGTCTCCGTGTCCGTTGCGGGCTCGCAAAGCGTGGCAGGCGTGGCACTTCCTCGACACCACAGGGAGTGCGCTGGGGGTGGTCTCCCTATCCGTTGCGGGCTCGCAAAGCGTGGCAAGCAATATGGCGTTGGATGACACATAGGGAAACATTCGCGACGAGGGCTCAGAACGCAGGATTGCGCATATATTAAAAACATAAGCAAGCACATCAGATTTACATTAAGTATGTGGGGTTCTTCGGTAGCGTATTTTTTTTTACTGTTGGTGGATCGAAGGGTCCTGGCGCAGGGCCCCTGCCACTCCCGGGAACTAGATGCCCCCCCCCCCCCCACGCGATGGGACTGATGCACCAGGAAGGAGAGGAGACCCAGAAAACAGGAGGCGGATTCCCCCCCGGGACGCACCAAGCGTCAGGGGCCCGTCCCCCTTTCCCGTGGACCCTACCGTCAGCCTGGGCGCTCCCTCTCTGCCCCACCCCGCGGGCAGGGCCGCCCACCCCAGGCGGGCAGCAGGGGCAAGGGTGGGCTACCTAGGCCGAGGGGGGAGGCCCGAGAGCTTGATTCCTGAGTGCTGGGGGCACGGCGTCTGAATAAATTGCGAGGAAGTACCACGCGAGAGCTCGATCCCTGTATGAGTTGTGGGGAAGTCCTGCGCGGGAGCGCGATGGTGGAATAACTTGTGAAGACATATCTGGCGGGAGCAGTTGTTGTTTTAGTCCCGAGGCCCACAACCCAATCTGAGCACCAATACTTTCCCTCGTTCAACAAACAAGGTGCGAGCCCTGGGAGGAGCACTTGAATTGAAAAACACAGTGGGCACCGAAGGGGGGATCAACAAACATATTTCTGTAGAAATGAGAACCCAACATATCTGCAACACTACAGATAACAACAACTACAACAACATAACAACGTGAGCAACAACGTAGACATAAACAGCAGCCACACGACCACAACAACATAACAACCACATTAATATCTACGACGACATGAGCAGCAGCCGCATCGTGAGCAGCAATAGCGACTTCAGCAGCAACCGCATCTGCGTCAACCTTACCAGCAAAGTGGTAGCGAGCAGCAACCGCATCAGCAAAGCCTGCAGAGGTCTCCGACCATCAATTACTTTTGTAAGAACCCCGTGTGCTAAAGCATATCAGGGGAACAACATGACTCCTCACGCTTATCATAAACTGACAACTCTCTGTGGCTACATTGCCAATTGCGAGCCATCTCTACATCGCAGGGCGGTGGGGGGCCGGGATTTGGGTTTGTAGCCGCCGCGACCACCGATTGACCTGCAAAACCGCCCCAGCGGTTTGCTTCAGAGTCGGACATCACGCAACGACGTACCGCCGCGCCCTCGCCCCGAGCCCGACAGCCGGTCCTGGGCGCCGCAACCCCGACCGCAGGCGTCTGCGGCGCCGCCACGGCGGCTCCGGGGCCCCCCGGCGTCCGCGGCGCCGCCGCGGCGGCCCCAGGCGTCCGCGGGGCCGCCACCGCGGCGCCAGGCGTCTGCGGCGCCGCCACGGCGCCGCCGCGCGGCGCGCCAGGGGTCCTCTGGAACGCACAAGGTCAGACTAGTACTATGTGCTCTCCTCGGAGGCGTGCGTCCGACCCGAACATTTACAGCAACCATCTTGTAGTATCCCGTTTCCCGAACGGTAAAGCCAGAAAGCACCCGCTACGGATAATATACCTATACGATCACCCTTCGGGTGATAAGGAGGTTAAGGGGGAAAGAACCAACTGACGACAACTGCGATGGCTGCGATGATGACGATGCTGGTGGTACGCCCTCGAGTTGTCGAAGACGTGTGGTTGACGATGCTGCGTCGCGATGTGACCCCACCATCGACCCCACTTGATCAACTCACCATCGATCGACCTCACTATCGATCTCACTATCGACCTCTTGACTGACGGGACACCACAAGAAACAATCGGGACACCAATCAATCTCACTTTCGACCTCACTACCGATCTCACTCTCGATCTCACTATCAATCTCACCACGGGACGCCGACGGGACACCGACGGGACACCCAGAGAACACCGACGGGACACCACGGGACACCGACAGGACACCACGGCGAGACAACTAGGCCACCGCCCGCCCACCGCGACAGGACACTGGCGGGACAACGACGGGACACCCGGGCCACCGCCGGACCACTGGAGGGGGGGGGGAGGACGGCTCAACGGCTCTGACCTGCCCTAGCCACAGCGGGGTCATTCCTGTCGCCCGCCCACGCAGCTTCGCCTCCCCCAACCGACTTCCAGGTAAGAGGCCCCCTGTTCCACTTCGATCACACCCCCCAACCTCCGACTCTGAGATTTCTGAGCGCGCGCGTCGCCCCCCTGGGGGCGACGCACACGCAGTGCTAGCCTGCTTGGGTGGCGCCGATCCTCGGCGCACCGGCGGCGGGAGTGCGCGGGGCCGCCGTGAGCACGCGGCGCTGCCGCGCCTCCGCCGTGGCCCTGCGCTCCTCGGCCAGCAACGCCTCCTGCCTCTCCGCCGCCGCCCGGGCCCTCTGCGCCGCCTCGCGCTGGGCGCGGAGGGCCTCCTCCTGCCGCCTCGCCTCCTCTTTGGACGCCCGAAGTGGGTATGGAAAGAAGGGGCGCGATGCCCAACACTGGCGGCGCGCAGAGGGGGGTATGGGGGAGGGGGAAGGCTTCTTAGAAGGGGGCTGCTTCTTAGATGGTGCCGGCCCTACATCTATAGAGAAGGCCCGCACCTTCTAAGAAGCAGGGGTGTTTCGAAGAACCTTCCCCCCTCCCCCATACCCCCCTCTGCGCGTGGCCGACAACAGCTAATGTTGTCCAAAACCGACAGCGGCCGCTGTTGGGCAGGCGGCCTTCTGTCTCAAAGGGACAGCGACCACGGCCTCGCCGACATCAAACCTTGCTCAGAATGAACAAGAACTCCTGCTGGGTTTTGTGCCCATTTCGATCGTCCCGATCCTCGCTCGCCCTCTGGGCCGCCTCCTCCTCATACGCCCGGTCGCCCAGACCGTCCAGGCGCCACCACTGGCCCAGGAGGCGTATCTTCTCGCCGCCTTCGTCCTGAAGGTTTTCTGTTTATCATGTCTGGGTAAAGGTCGTTACCTGGGGAAGGAGGGAGTTGGGGCCCCATGTAACGGCAACACTTGGGCGGGGTTGGGCACCTCGAGGTGGGACTGCGCTGCGATCGCCAGCATATGCTCGCGAGCACCAGCATGCGCGGGGGGGTCCAGGCCCCCCGCCCCTACGTACGATCGTGATCGAATCTGAATCGGGAAATCGAATCCGAAAATCGGATCGAATCGGAAGGTGCATGGGATCGGCCTGCGACGGCAGGGAGTCTAAATCGAATCGGATCGGCCGCACCAGGATGCACAACACCGCCGTGCAAGCATCTGGACGGGATCGGATCGCCGGAATATCGGCCTCGAGTCGAACCAGGCCAGCCGAATCCGATCTCGAGTCGGATCGGATCGGAACGGACCCTGCCATCGGTCTTGCACTAGGCGGAGGCCTGCTCCACCAGGAGGGGGTAGGGCTCGGATTTTGCAACGTGTTCGACGAAATCCGAAACCTACCCCCGCCGCCCATCGAGCTGCCTGAATCGTTGATCGGCGAGGGTCAGATTCGGAACTCGCCGCCGAAGGGGGGACTCCAAGAACCACCGAGAATCTCCAGGAACCGGCGACAGCCCATGAAGCCTTCGGGAAGGGCGATCGTCTTCGCGCCCCCGAGCGTAACCCTGGAACGGAAGACGACGACGACGACGACGACGACGACGACGACGACGAGGACGAGGACGACGACGACGACGACGACGACGACGACGACGACGACGACGACGACGACGACGACGACGACACGACGACGAGGACGACGACAAGTCCTTGCACCAGGCGGAAGCCTGCTCCACCAACTGCGCCACCCTCTGCCTCGCCTCCTCCCGCAGCGCCGCCTCTGGGCCCGCGAGCGCGGCACCCAGCAGGGTCAGGCGCGCCCACCTGCCGGGGCCCTGCCAGGTGTCGAAGAAGGCCGTCACCTTTCGGGCACCAGCGCCCAGACCCCCTCACGCCATGAAAAAACACGACGGACTCACGCAATGGGAGAAAAACACGCTGCCTCTGGACTCTAGCGCGACTGGGCCCATGCAACGCGAGACAGATAACAGGGAAGGAGGAGGGGAGGAGGAAGAGGAGGAGGAGGAGGTGGCGGAAGTCCTTGGTGTCGGTGTGGGCGTCTGGGTCTTGCGAGGCTTGGAGTCTGGGGCGGCTGAGCGGCTGGTCTGAAGGGCGGAGCCGAACTCCCAGACCCCTCGCGCCACGACAAAAACGTGTCGGCCTCTGGGGGCTCTCGCCGGGCCCTGGGACTGTCAAAAAACGACTCGCGATGAAAAACTGGCCCTAGAAAGAGGGTCGGGACTTCAGGGGACACCGCAGTGAAAAAATCAGGGCATCGCATGGCTGGGAGTGGGTTCAGTGGGACCTGATTTAGTGATGTGTGCTTTGGGGACGCCTCCCTCAGCCCCACTCCGCTGACTGGCACTGCAGTCACCCGAAACTGGCACTTGTTGCTGGCTTCGGGGCCCTATCACTGACCGGCTTCCCCTACCCTGGGCCCTGGCTATACCCGAACCTTCAGCTCCAGGGATAGCAGCTCCAAGCGGTCCGCCATCCAGGAGGACTTGGACAGCGGGAAGGGCACCCTCATCTGCAAGAGGTCCCCGCGCGGCGCGGCGAGCTCGTCGAGGTCCATGCGCCTGCCGAAGCGCCTGGAAGTCATGCACGAGAGGTACTCCTATCGGGAGAAGCGAGGTCTGGCTCAAGAAACATGATTTCGACGGCTGTTGGGGCGCCTCAGGTCGAGCTGGGGGGGGGCCTCAGGTCGGGCTGGGAGGGGGGCCCAGGTCCACCGAAACCAAGCTTGTCAAACAAACCCCTCTGGCAACCTCCGATCCTGCGCACGCCTGCGCTCCTCCCGGGTGCCGGCCAGGAGGACCAGGGTCCCGGCGGACTCCACCAGCGCACCAGAGGCGCCAGCAAGCACCGCGCCCTGCTTCAGCGAAGGCCGGTGCTCCAGGTCCTCGGGTAACCAGACTTGGTCTACGGCAAGGCCGTCTGTGGCGTCCTCCAGGCATCCAGAGGGGGGCCGCTGGTGGAAGCTGTTGTGCCTGTCCTCAATCAGGGCCATGATCCTGATTCTGGCGGCCAGCCTAGACCGCGGCTGCCCCACGATCGCGAGGCGCACCTGCGTCCCGCCGCGCAGCTCGGAGTAAACAGCCTCCAAGGCCTCGTCGTTACCGCCCTGGTGAGCGGATCTCTTCCTCGCCTCAACCTGCGTGAGCTGGCCGATGACCGTGCCCGTTGCCTTCATCACCTTCTTCAGGTTAGAACAATCATCCACCACCGTGCGTCTGGGCACGAAGCGGGCGTGTCCTCAGGTCGTTTGCCTAATCCCCTCAACCCTCACTCGAGGGCCCCAAGACGGGCCAAGAGGGCCACACGAGGCCCCCAAGACGGTCCACGAGGGCCCCTAGACGCTCAAAGATCGGCCCAAGACGTACAGCATGGCCTCAAGATGGCCCAAGAGGCCTCCAAGACAGCCCAAGAGGCGTCCAAGAGGTCTCCGAAGAGGGCCTCAAGAGGCAAAAATCATTGACTTCCATTTAGTACTTGAAGGATTTGGACGCTCTTGTGTTTTCAGCTTTTCGACGCTCCAAGACGGCCCAAAAGGCCTCCAATACCACCCCAAAACGGCCCAAGAGACATCAGGGAGGGCTCCAAGACGGCCTAAGAGCGCCCAAAGACGGCCCAAGAGGCTCCCAAGACGGCCCAAGAGGACCCCAAGACGGCCCCAAAAGGGGCCAAAGAGGCCTCCAAGAGGACCCCAAGACGTCCTGAAAGCGCCCCAAGACGGCCCAAGAGACGCCCAAGACGGCCCAAGAGGCCCCCACGCCCAGCCCAAAACGGCCCAAGAGACATCAGAGAGGGCCCCCAGACGGCCTAAGAGCGCCCCAAGACGGCCCAGGAGGCGCCCAAGACGGCCCAAGAGGGTACCAAGACGGCCCCCCAAAAAGCCCAAGAGATAGAACACGAACCGAACATCCGAGCATTCTGCCCCAAGAGGCCCCCAAGAGGTTTCCAAGAGGCCCCAAGAGGCCCCCAAGAGGTCCACAAGAGGCCCCAAGAGGTCCCCGAACGGCCCGCAAGAGGCCTCCAAACTGTCGCCAAGAGGCCCCCGAGAGGCCGAAGGCCACCAAATACTGAAAGAAGAACTCCCGCATGGTCTGGGGGACACTGACCACAGAACTGCAGCTGTACAATTGCTCGGGCAGGACGTCAGAGAGCCTGTTCTCGATGGTTGAGACGAGGAAGTTGATGGTGAGGAGGGCATGCTCCCGCTGCTCCCGCTCTCCCAGGACCAGCGCACAAGGCCTGGAGGTGTTCCCACGGACGGCTCCGACGGCCCCCACGCCAATCTGCCACACCGGGCACTGGAAGAAGCAGACCGAGTGGCAGCCCGTGGCAGAAGGCAGCAGCGTCTCCAGGTCAAAGCCCTGCATCAAGAGAAAAGTATCCTTCAGCCCCCCCTTGAACTTCAGCTCGACGTCAGCCCACTGCAGACCTCCGACGTGGCGTCTCAGCGACCGAAACTTCAATTCTGAACTAACGGGCTATCACAATATGAGCCGTTCCGCAAATCCTGAACGAACTTATCCTGGTGAAGGGCCCAACCACATCGAGCTGCGGGCACCACGAGGCAAGTGAGAAGAAGCAGGGGGAGGAGTAAGGGGTGTACCAACATAGAGCGGGTGCGCCATGCGGGCCCGGCCACTTGGGCCTTGGATGGAGTTCCCCATGGGGCCACGAAACGTATGACGGGTGAGCCGAATCAGATGCGGGCACGCCATGCGCACCCTGCCGCTGGGGGCCTTCGGTAGAGCTCCTTATGGGGCCACGGCACGTGTGAGGGGTGTGCCGAATCAGATGCGGGTACGCCATGCGGACCCTGCCGCTGGGGGCCTTCGGTGGAGCTCCCTTCGGTGCCGCGAGAGGTGTGCGGGTGTGTCGAATCAGATGCGGGTACGCCATGCGGACCCTGCCGCTGGGACCCTCGGTTGGGCTCCCGATGGGGCCACGAAACGTTTGGCGGGTGTGCTGAATCGGGCGCGGGTACGCAATGCGGACCCTGCCGCTGGGGCCTTCGGTGGAACTCCCTCCGGGGCCACGAAACGTTTGGCGGGTGAGCCGAAATCAGATGCTTGCACGCCTTGCGGACCCTGCCGCTGGGACCTTCGGCGGAGCTCCCTTCGGGGCCACGACACGTGTGAGTGGGGTGCCGAATCGGGTGCGGGTACGTATGATGGTGATGAGATGAGGGTATACGCAGGGCAGAAGCAGGGATGGGAGGATGGAGGAGGGGGAGGAGGACGAAAAGGAGTGAACGCGGGGCGCTGTGTCTTCAAAACGAGGACCCAACACCACAGGGCGGTTTGGAGAAGAATGCATCTCTTCGGGAGGCGACGTTACGTCCACGGGCCCCAAACCCGTGATGACAGACCACACGGTGACCTCAGAATCCTAAGAGACCGCGCCGCACGGTCCATCACCACACGGTCTTGGGATCCTAGACGCCCAAGTCGCCCGAGACATTCTCGGAGAACGAGCCGAGAGTCCCAAAACCACGCGGCGACCACGAATCCCCAATGACTCAGCACACGGTGTGGTCATCACACTGCTTGGGGGCCCCGCCAACCGCGCATCCGCCGGCTTCCGCTGGCGGAGCCGCCCTTGTTTTACTTCCGACGGCGTCAGCCGCCCGTCCGTCCGCCGCCTTCCGCCGTGGAAGATACCAACCCCTCCGACACCTCAAGGGTGGGGCCCTCGTCTGGAGCGCCCCGCTATGTTCGTCCGGTCGGGTCCTGATGCAGCGGAGCAGGGCAAGATGAGACAACAGCAGCTCAAAATCGCTCCCCGGACCCCTCCCTGAGTGCAAACGGACTAATTTTCAGAGCTGCCCCCCTGAAGGCCAACTACCGTTGTCTCCACTCGCCCTCCTCTGTCTGGGTCGGCCCCTCCACCGTCGCCCTGGACCAATTCCGGAACCCCTGGCGCACCATCCCAACCGGGCTGTGTTCGAGCTGCACCCAGCCGCGGCCACGAGGCACTCCTGGGACCCCTCCGTCCTTTTCCTCCCTCTCCTCGTCCTCCTCCTTGTCCTTCTCCTCCTCCTCATAAATGCTTGTAGTTGTTTGTTGTTCTTGGCACTCCAGCGAGAATCAGCACCACCCTAATGAGTACTCAGCTGATCTCAGGTTCGAATCGATGCAGGATAGTAGAGCTTCCCTGCCACTTCCCTGCAGAAGCTCGCATGCGCGCTGCCGACCCTAGCTGCCCCGATACGCAAAAACGCAACCAGTTACGTATTGATACAGAGCTCAAGACGTAGCTTGAAACGTAAGTCTGGCGAGCTACATTCAAAACAACGTAAGCCACCCCGTGCTGAACCAGCACACAACGTGTTTAGCCTGGACGTTTTTGACGTGGTACGGGTTGTGTTTCAAGACGGGCGTCTCAGGGCAGCAAGGCTGCCGACGAATGCATGACTGGGAGCTCAGCACGGTGCTACACGCTAGAGCGACCCAAGGCAAGAGTGACCTTTGGTGCGCAACTTTCGGGGGCCGCGGGGACGTCGAACCGGTGCGCGCGAGCCGCTGCCAGCGCATCGCACTCGGCCATCTAAGGACCCCACTGTGCCCGCACCCATAGTGACTCCGGCGAAAGGTCACTCTTACGTGTATCCGTCCGTCGGAAAAAGTGAGTAGAAACGTTAAGTAAGAAGGCGTTGGAACTAGATTGGGTTTCAGCACAGCCAAAAGGGAAACCGCTCGACCCTTGAAGTAGGAAGGCGCCTAAATCAGATTGGGATCTGGGCAACAAAAAATAGCTACTTTCAGCGACGGGCGCGTAGCCGAACTAGGGGCCTGCTCCGTCACCCGCCGGCGCGAGACTGTCCAGGCGGGCGGCCATGGTGCCGGCAGCGCTCCGGTCCAGGGACGTCATGACGACGACCTCGGCCTTCAGGCGCGCCTCTCTGGGGGACCATATAAGCCGACACCGAGTCAAGAGCGTGCTTTGGCAGATCGTGGGCCTGGGGTGTCGCGCCTCCCTCTGACATCGCCCAGACCGCAAAGCGCTAAACGTGACGAACGTCGCACCCTCTAGGTGGCCCTGGCACATTGCCGCTCTGATTCTCCAAAGAATCGGCCACGCTCGCGGCCGGGGCCTTCCGGGAGCGGGAGGGGGCGGATCTGGGTCTGGGCCTGTGTTTCATCGCTCAAGTCACGCAACCAAACTGGGGGGGGGTCCTGGCCAGCCGCCGAAAGCAGCCAAGAGCTGGTCAATGGGACGGGGGAGGGTGAGGGTGCCTGAAGCCCGCGCCGATCGGCGAAACAAAATATAAAATTAGCCCTCCATATACGCAGCTGTGAATACCGCAGTCGTGAATATCGTTTTCGGTGGAGTTCCGTATGGAGGCAGCAACGTGTGATGGGGGGTCCCAAAGTAGGATGGCGGCGACACGCGGGCGCTACCACTGGTGCCTTCGGTGGAGTTCCCTCTCTAGGGCCTGCAGCGGAGCCCCTTTTATCGAGGCCACGAAACATGTGAACGGTGTGCCGACATGGGTGCGGTGGGCGCATGCGAGCGAAACCAGTGGGGCCTTTTTGTGGAGTTTCCTGTGGGGACCACGAAACGTGTGAAAGGTGTATTGAAAAAGGTGCGACGGGCATATGCGAACGCTGCCTTGTGCGCCTTCGGTGGAGCTCCCTATGGGGGTCATGAAACGTGTGAAAGGTGTACCGACATCGAAATGAATGCGGCGGGCGCATGCGGGCGCTGCCTTTCAGGCCTTCGGTGGAGCCCCCGTTTTATGAGGCCACGGAGCGTGCGAGGGGAATGCCTACATCGGCGCGGCGGGCGCATGCGGCCGATGTTTTTTTTTTAAGGGTTTGTTCCCTACCTAGGCTCTGCCTAGAAGGGTTCTTACTTTCTTTGCTAAAGGGGGCGGGCAATGGAACCCACCCCGGGCGGTTCCCCCAGTTGCGCCCCCCTGGTTCCCCCAGTTGCGCCCCCCTGGGTTCACCCAGCTTAGCTTAGCTAAGCTTAGCTTAGCTTCGCTTCGCTTAGCTTTAGCTTAGCTTAGCTTAGCTTAGCTTAGCTTAGCTTAGCTTAGCTTAGCTTAGCTTAGCTTAGCTTTGCCTAGCCTAGCCTAGCTTAGCTTAGCTTAGCTCAGCTCAGCTTAGCTTAGCTTAGCTTTGCCTAGCCCAGCTTAGCTTAGCTTAGCTTAGCTTCGCTTCGCTTAGCTTAGCTTAGCTTCGCTTCGCTTCGCTTAGCTTAGCTTAGCTTAGCTTAGCTTAGCTTAGCTTAGCTTAGCTTAGCTTACCCCATCTTAGCTTAGCTTAGCTTAGCTTAGCTGTTGCTTTCCTGAATGCTCCAACTCCTAGGTAGGGTCGCACTGGGATAATGTGTTGCTATCCGTGTGGGTGCCACAAAAAAAGGCGAGGAGTGTGCCGAAATTGGCGCGGCGGGCGCATGCGAGCGTAGCCACTGGAGCCTTCGGTGGAATTCCTTATCGGACAACGAAACGTGTGAAGGGTGTGCCGACACGGGTGCGGCGGGCGCATGCGGGCGTTGCTTGGTGGAGTTCCCGATGGGGGCCACGGAATGAGTGAAGGGTGTACCCAAATGAGTGCGGCGGGCGCATGCGGGTGTCGCCTTTTTTTCGGACCTTCGGTTGGCATCCCTGTGGAAGCCACGAAACGTGTCCAGGGTGTGCCTGCATGGGTGCGGCTGGCGCATGCGAGCGGAGCCACTGGGGCCTGTGGAGTTCCGTATGGGGACACGAGCGCGTGAGGGTGTGCCGAAATGGGTGCGGCGAGCGCGTGCGAACGCTGCCTTTTAGGCCTTCGTTGGAGCCCGCTTGGTGTGAAAAGTGCCCCGGGATCGAAATGAATGCGGCGGGCGCGTGATGGCGCTGCCGTGTGGGCTTTCGGTGGAGTTCCTGATGGGGGCAAAAAAACTTCTGAGGAATGCGCCGGAATGGAAGCAACGGGCGCATGCGAGAGCGGCCCTTGGGGCCTTCGGTGGAGTTCCCATATGGGGCCACGAAACGTGCGAGAGGTGTGTCAAAATTGCTGGATAGCGCCATGCGAACACTGCCACCTGGGTCGTCGCATGACGATGATGATGATGGTGGTGATGATGGTGATGATGCTGATGATGGTGATGGTGATGGTGATGGTGATGATGGCAACGGTGACGGCGGTAATGATGATGATGACGACGACGACGGCGAGGATTGTGGTGGCGCTGACGATGATGATGATTTCGTTCGTCAGACCCGATGTGAGCTTCCTGGACAACACAAGTGCAAGGCACTGACTTGCAAATCCTGGAACTCGGGCCAAGAGGCCACCACAAGCCTCTGGCCAACAAGCGGTGTCTTAACACACCGCACGAGCATGTACAACACTGGAAACGCGGGGCCCTACGGCACTGGCCCCGTGAGCGCAGCACCCCCCATAGAGCCAAGAGACTCCAAAATGGGAACGGCGCCCGGGACCCTCAAGGACTGACTTCACGGCGCCGCTCACGTCATGCTAGGTGCACAGTAAAACCCTTTAAAGCAAACATTTTTGAAATGATGAATGTCGTGTGACTTTCGCATTGATGTGGCATGAAAAAATTATCGTTCGCACAGTGAGGCGATGGCAAAAATTCCCAATGACGGCTGCGTCGCCACAAGCGCAACGTCGCGGCAATCCGACTCAGGAAGATGATGATGCGCACAATGATGTTCACACACTTGAAGTCGAAGTACTGATCAACGCCGATGTGCGGAATACACTTGGCCATACCTCGTGTTTGGTACAGGCAATGTTTGCTTCATAGCGCCATGCAGACTTCGAGGAACTTCTCGGCGAAATCCGCCGGCCCCCTTGTGGGGCCACCAGGCTGTAGGCACGGGTTCGCAGTTTCCAGTACCAGTTGTAGCTTGTAGTTTCCAGTGTTACAGTTCTGCTTCTTGCTGGTTACTGTAACTAGTTGATTGACCGCGCGAGGGGGGGGGAGGCCCAAACAGAATTTTTTAGCACCCCCTGGGCGCGTTGTCTAAATTGCTGGGGGGGCTCGAAATCGACACCCCTCACTCAGATCCGCGGGGTCAGGGTCCAAAAACACAAGGGACTTGCCACATTTCTGAAATTCGGTGCCACCCCTCACGCAGATCCGCGGGGTCAGGGTCCAAAAACACAAGGGAGTTGCCACATTTCTGAATTTCGGTGCCACCCCTCACGCAGATCCGCGGGGTCAGGGTCCAAAAACACAAGGGATTTGCCACATTTCTGAATTTCGGTGCCACCCCTCACGCAGATCCGCGGGGTCAGGGTCCAAAAAACACAAAGGATTTGCCACATTTCTGAAATTCGGTGCCACCCCTCACGCAGATCCGCGGGGTCAGGGTCCAAAAACACAAGGGACTTGCCACATTTCTGCAATTCGGTGCGACCCCTCACGCACATCCGCTGGGTCAGGGTCCAAAAACACCGGGGATTTGCCACATTTCTGAAATTCGGTGCCACCCCTCACGCAGATCCGCGGGGTCAGGGTCCAAAAACACAGGGGATTTGCCACATTTCTGAAATTCGGTGCCACCCCTCACGCAGATCCGCGGGTCAGGGTCCAAAAACACACGGGATTTGCCACATTTCTGAAAACTTCGGTGCCACCCCTCACGCAGATCCGCGGGGTCAGGGTCCAAAAACACCACAAGGGATTTGCCACATTTCTGATTTCGGTGCCAAACCCCTCACGCAAGCAGATCCGCGGGGTCAGGGTTCAAAAACACAGGGGATGTGCCACATTTCTGAAATTCGGTGCCACCCCTCACGCAGATCCGCGGGGACAGGGTCCAAAAACATAGGGGATTTGTTACATCTCTGAAATTCAGTGCCACCCCTCACGCACATCAATCGCAAGGCGTGGTAACCCAAACTGCGAGTACTCCCTCTGCCCTTTAATCCCAAGGTGTGGTAACAAAGCTCGTAAACCATACACGTCTTACCAATCGCCCTGTGAGGTCAACCCCTCTTGTGATCAGTTGGTTTTGCCGATTGCGAATCGGCCTCGCATGAAGTTCCGATACTGCTGCGCGACAGCGCCAAAGCCTCATGACTTAGCTCTTCCATGGCCCATTCTCCGAGAGAGGGGGCCGGCGGCAGGGGGCGAAGCCCTTACGGATTATTCTTGATCGCGCGCAAAATCTTGATTTACTGCAGAGTCTCACGGGAGATGTTCATCAGCAGGTCCTCAGAGCCAATCGCTCCCTTCACGATGTTCACTCACTCGGGTATCAGCTCGCCGGGATCGTCCATGATTCGGACGCGTCGCACGCACAGCGTGATGCTGTTGCGCTTCTTCTTGGACTCGAACAGGTCAAACTGTTCCCGGCGAGGCACGGAGAGCAGCGCGCGGAACTCCACTTGGCCTTCCACGCTAAAGTACTTCGCAGCCAGGTGGTCCTCCCGGTCGTTGGACAAGGATTTGTAAAACGAGGCGTACTCATCGTTGGCCACGTCCTCTCCAAAGCGGCTTGTTCTTGTCGAGCTGACCCCGCTCGTGGGATACCTCCTTGACCTTCTTGGTTGTTTTCTTGTCCTACTTTTGTTTTTCTCTCTCTCTCTCTCTCTCTCTCTCCTCATCGACCTCCTCAAAATTCGGCTCGTCGCCTTGCTTCTCCTCGTCCTTCTTCTCCACCTTCTCGTCCTCGGAGTCCGTCTCTTCCTTCTCCTTTGATCTGTCCACGCGCAGCTCAAAGGGGAACCGATGAACTCAGAGCGCTTCTTGACCAGAGCCTCCAGGCGGCACTCCTCCAGGAACTCCGCCTGGTCCTCCTTCAGATAACGAATGACCTTGGTACCGCGCCTAATCTTCCCGTGCGCCATCTCCGTGTCCTTCGGCATCGTGAAGGAGCCGCGGACTCCAAGGTGTACTGCTAGTCGTCGCTGTTCTTGCTGAAATCGAGCACCATG